ATGGCCAATATTCTTAAAAGTTAATGCACACCGCACACCGCACAAATGGCCATAGCATTAGCTCTTTGAGCCTTTAACCCTAAGTATCCTAAGATCCAAGTTGCATCAACTGACAAAGTTTGATGATTCTTAGCCAATTAGGACTGAAAATATTTTTAATAATAAAGCTATAACAAGAGGCCCATGGGCCACATCACTCACCTGAGAAGCTTTGACGATTCTGTTCTTTGCCAGATTTCCCCCTTGTAATACACAATGCATCCCCACCCTATCCCACAGATCATAATTTAGACATTTTGAAATCTACACTACCCTATTATCCTTCCATGTGCACATAAGTTTCAGCTTTTCTGGCCCAGTGGTTCTTGAGAAGAAGATTTTCAAAGATTTTTCCTATATATTTCTATGTTTATATTTTGATTCCCCATTGTGGCCCCGCCCTTACCCGGGGTCATGATTTGAACAATTTAGAATCTGCACTACCCCAGGATGCTTCCACATAAGTTTTAGCTTTTCTGGCCCAGTGGTTCTTGAGAAGAAGATTTTCAAAGATTTTTCCTAAATATTTCTATAGAAATATTTTTAATTCCCCATTGTGGCCCCGCCCTTCCCCCGGGGGTCATGATTTGAATAATTTAAAATCTACACTATACCAGGATGCTTCTACGTAAGTTTCAGCTTTTCTGGCCCAGTGATTCTTGAGAAGAAGATTTTCAAAGATTTTTCCTATATATTTCTATGTAAAACTTTGATTCCCCATTGTGGCCCCACCTTTCCTCCGTGGGTCATGATTTGTAAAATCTAGAACTTACACTACCACAGGATGCATCCACATAAGTTTCAGCTGTTTTGGCCCAATGGTTCTTGAGTAGAAGATTTTCAAAGATTTTTCCTATATATTTCTATGTAAAACTTTGATTCCCTTTTGTGGCCCCGCCCTTCCCCCAGGGGTCATGATTTGGACAATTTAGAATCTACACTATACCAGGATGCTTCCACATAAGTTTCAACATAAGTTTCAGCTTCTCTGGCCCAGTGGTTCTTGAGAAGAAGATTTTCAAAGATTTTTCCTATATATTTCTATGTAAAACTTTGATTCCCCATTGTGACCCCACCCTTCCCCCGGGGATCATGATTTGGAAAATTTAGAATCTACACTTTACCAGGATGCTTCCAAATATGTTTCAGCTTTTTTGGCCCAATGGTTCTTGAGAAGAAGATTTTCAAAGATTTTTCCTATATATTTCTATGTAAAACTTTGATTCCCCATTGTGGCCCCACCCTTCCCCCGGGGGATCATGATTTGTACAATTTAGAATCTACACTTTACCAGGATGCTTCCACATATGTTTCAGCTTTTTTGGCCCAATGGTTCTTGAGAAGAAGATTTTCAAAGATTTTTCCTATATATTTCTATGTAAAACTTTGATTCCCAATTGTGGCCCCGCCCTTCCCCCGGGGGTCATGATTTGGACAATTTAAAATCCACACTACCCTAGGATGCTTCCAAACAAGTTTCAGCTTTTCTGGCCAAGTGGTTCTTGAGAAGAAGATTTTTTAATGACCCCACCCTATTTTTGTCTTTTCTTGATTATCTCCCCTTGTGAGGGGACTTGGCACTTTATTTTAACAATTTAAATTCCCCTTCACCAAAGGATGCTTTGTACCAAGTTTGGTCAAAATTGGCCCAGTGGTTCTTGAGAAGAAGTCGAAAATGTGAAAAGTTTACAGACGGACAGACAGACGGACGGACAGACGGACAACGGACAAAATGTGATCAGAAAAGCTCGAGCCTTCAGCTCAGGTGAGCTAAAAAGTAAAGTTTAAATTTTTGATTTTTTTAACCACCTCCTGTGACGACCAAAAGTGACGGTGGACAATCTTAACCCAAAAGGATTTGCCTACTCATCAATAACTATAACTCCTATAAGTTTGGTGTCTTAATCTTTTAAGGTTTCCGAGATCTCACTATGGTAACTTCTAATTTTGAGGACAAGAATTCACGCGACCAGAAGTGAATTTTACAAAAATATTTGACGTTACTCCAGACATTCGCAATCTACATAACATATTCAATAATCATTCCAAATACTTTATCTATAGTAAAACATAGGTAATCAGAGATTACAGAGCTCACCTCAACGAATGTTGTCTGTAAGTAAGGCAAAGTCACACAACAACCCAACAAAAAGTGTACATTCAAAATTTATGCAATTTTGATCTGATACTTTGGAATAGACCTATATAAAAACTTCAAACTAGTTCTTTGTCACAAAAATGTGATTAAAATCCAGCATCAGTAGCAAGTTTGAGAGTTTTCATCCCTTGATGCATCATTTGGGCAAGTTTGGTTTATATAAGCCTTATAGTTTCTTGGTAATAGAACTGCACCCATAACTTTTACCTGGTACATTATCTGAAAGATGTATGTTGAATTCAGCATCTAGAGCAAATCCATTAGTGTGCATCCTAAGATGTATCATCCATGCAAGTTTGAACAACATAGGACTAATAGTTACTTAGAAATGAAACTTGCATGAAAATTTAACCTCTTCACTCATCCAAAAAAATGTAGGTCAGATTCAGCATCCGAAGCAAGCGTGGTAGAAGGCAACCTTAGATGTATCGTCCATGCAAGTTTGGTCATTATAGGGCTCATAGTATCTTGGAAATGAAACCTGCAGCAAAAACTTTAACCTAATCACTCAACTGGAAAATGTAGGTCAGATTCAGCATCCGAAGCAAGTCTGGTAGTGTACATCTTTAGATGTATCATCCATGCAAGTTTGGTCAACATAGGGCTTATAGTTACTTGGAGATAAAACCTGCACCAAAAACATTAACCTGTTCACTCAACCGGAAAATGTAGGTCTGATTCAGCATCCGAAGCAAGTCTGGTAGTGTACATCCTTAGATGTATCATCTGTGAAAGTTTGGTCAAAATAGGGCTTATAGTTACTCGTAAATGAGACCAACACCAAAAACTTCACCAAAAATGTTAACCTGCTCCAAAAACATTAACCTGGTCATTCCTTTGCTGAAATTGCAGCATCTGAAACTTTGACTGGTACCATGAAACACATTAGAAACATCTTCCATGCATGTCTAATCAATATAGGACATAGAAGTACTTAAAAAGAAAACTGCTCCAAAAAACTTAACCTTAACCCGGGACGCCGACGCCGAGGGTATTACATAAGCTCCCCCAACTTCGTTGAGGTGAGCTAAAAATATATATTGAAAAGAAAAATACACAACTGATGTAGTTTTTCTCTTATAAACGGAAGTTGTCGTTTTTGTTTCTGGTGGGACTGACATATTTTGAAACTACAAATAAGTTGCTATAATGTGATGCAAAAATAATTTCAAAAAAGAAAACCTGAAATTTCCAATTTTTATGATCACTTCCTGTGACGACCGGAAGTGACGGTGGAAATCTTAACCCAAATGGGTTCGCCTACTAATCACGATCTTTTATTCCTGTAATTTTGGTGTCTTCATCTCTTACCGTTTCTGAGAAATGACTGAGACAAAATATTTCTGGAAAAAAAAGCAGAAATCGGACATACCGGAAGTGAATTTTGAAAAAATTAAAAAAAGTCTTAGCATATTTTCATTCTCTATCATCCCTGAAAATTTCAAGAAAATCCGTACAGCCATCTCTGAGAATTCCGATACAAGAAAAGGGGAAAAAATAATAAAAACAAACAGTAGAATCACTATAAGGTCTTCCGTCTGAAACGAAAGACCTTAATTACAAAATACCGGGTAGGTTCAGGTCAAAACATGGCTGACGCATAATAATTCCTGAATTTTCCCCTTTAATTCGAGCGTTTCTGCATTGGACAGGGCTGATTTTTGTTATGAGATGATAAATCATATGTAAACTTTCTTAGTTTACAGTCTTCACAAAAACTCCCTAGCCCGACGCCCAAGGCTAGTAAAAATTGGTTTGGGCTAGTAAAAATTGTTTTAGAAGTAGCTCGACTGGCTAGGGAAAAGGAAGCAGGTACTTTCAGAGTTTTTGCTCTTAAATCTTAACCAATTAATAAATTCAAAGCACTGTTGTCCTATTCTTCAGAAAACTCCCTCATCTAATTCATGTAGCACTACTTAATAATTTATTTTTCCATAAAAACGATGGTCTTTTTTCTCTATTCCGAATTTCCTTTGTTCGATCATTTATGATAAATACATGCAGAAATCTCATTTGTTTAATTCTGATTACTCATTTAATTGAAGAGTAAAGGATTACATGAGTTAACTATGTTAACTGTTATCCAAATATATTAACAATGTATCTGAAAATTTGATATGAAAAAAATCACTTCTTTGGAAGAGAAGTCTAATGACCAGAAAAAGGGCTAATGTACATACATGTACATTATCAAAAAGCAAAAAAAAGAACTTGTTTGTTCAAATTAATTTAATCTTTATAAATGATAACTGATTTATTTATGATTCAAATGATAGGAAAAACAAAATAATTAAGCAGATGAAATACAAAAGGAGAGGAATTCAGTATGAAATTTAAATGGAAAAGAGTGATACAACAGTAAATTCTTTCTTTCTTTTCGTTGGCTATGAAAAATTTCTTTGGGCTAGTAATACTGTCAAATCCACTAGCCCTACTGGCTAGTGTCTCAGAAAAGTTTTCGTGAAGACTGAGTTTAGCTGAAACACGAGCATTTTCGGCGTGATGAAATCAGTTGCTTATAAGTGGCTTATAAAACACTTATAAGTATCTACTGTTTTTTTCTGTAAAGGTTTGCCCTTCGTTTCATAATTTAAAGTCCCCTATACCTATTGATGCTTGATATCAACTTAGTTTAAAATTGACGCGCCAGTGGGTCTTGATCGAGATATTGAAAATGTAAATACTTTACAGATGGAAAGCTAGACAGGCAGACAGACATAAAGATGGACGAACAACGGCTGATCAGAAAAATCTCATTTAAGTTTCCAGTTTAGAACAGCTATAAATCATTGCTATTACTTACATCTTACATCCAGTTGATGTTTGATGGATAGAACTTCATCTCCTTGTATGTTTTTGGCTAAGCAGTATACATTTTTGTTGTTGTCGTAAACCGTTATATCATACCGAAGTGTGGAAAACGTAGCAACTAGACTGTTGTTAAAATCTGTCTGGGATAATGCACTTCTTGTGATATCAACTGAGTCCTTGTACCATGTGATGTTGGCTGCTGGGTTACAGTAATCTGTCTGACAGGTAAGAGTTATCTGTTTACCAGCATCCACAGGTATTTCAGCACCGGCCAAGGTCACAGATGTCACTGGAACTAAAAATTTAAGGTAGTACAAAACACCTGTGTATTCTATTTCAACTGATTTCTCAAAAAAGTATTGGAGAGAAAAAAAGAAAAATATTATTATATTGACAACAATGAATGATCCCTGTAAGAAAAATAATAAGTAATGGCATGTTTTCGTCATAGTTTGTGAAAAAATAAGAGAATCCTATATATTGGTCACCTGGGAGCTTACATTTTAGAATGTATTTACACTATTTAAATGCAATAAACAAGCATATAAGAGTCTGTTATTAAATGCAATGTAACTTTTGTTCTATGAATTGTAGAGGGCTGATATTTGGAAGCATATATAAGGGGTCTCCATTCTTTTTATGTACTAATAAAGGTCAAGGTCATATCAAGAGGTCAAAGGTCAAATCCTGTGACAGCATCTACTGAATCGTTTGATTTTTTTGCCACTGAAATATTTTTAATTGCCAAAATATTTTAAACCACTGCTTTTCTGGCCCAGTGGTTCTTGAGAAGAAGATTTTTAAAGATTTTTCCTATATACGAGGGTCATTAAAAAAAATACGTAGGCAATGCTTCTTATCGTCACATGATTATTACAAAATTATAGTTTAACACATTTTCATAAACAAAAACATTCATTTTGTCGAAGTGTGAAGTTTTATTCCATTTGATTAAATAGAACTCATGTTAGCTAAAATTAAAAGCAACACGTTTTGTTACCACGGAGCACAGTTAACCAACATTGTAACGTCAAAAACAACATGAGAAAGTTTGTCAAATTTATACACGTACTCATTTTTCAAATTTCAAACACGGTATGTAGCGTCTTCTCTATTCAAAAAAAAAATATCCATAATGCTTAACGCATAGTTTGCTAACAATTGTACGAATATAGCTTGAATTTGAATGTCATTGTTTTCAAATTCTTTATTTTACCATGTAATTCTATTAATTCTGCAACAGTGAAGCACACATCACGTTCAATGACGTTCCTATAACTCTTTTGACAACATTTTTAACTTTAACCTGTTTCTGTGCAGACAATTCATCGTCCAATTCAAACTCGCTACCACTCAAAAATTGAATTTTTCATTTAATACAAATACATAGATTATTTTTCATACAGATCCTGGTTTATACGGATTTTTTGAGCTTGTAGAAGAAGTTTCCCGAATGTAAAGTACAATTTTATTGCTTCTTGCTGCTCCGTGACGTCCTTCAACGTCATGGTTTTTAGCCCTTTTTAATCAAGTCAATAAGTATTTAGAAACTGATATCTTCTAAATTGAGTGACATATTACATAACCGGATTTCATTTTAATTAATACAGCAATACTTTATTTAAACATGTAAATTTTATTTCGTTTCAGCTCCATTTATTAGAGGTATGGCTGTAAATACTATAAAATGAAAATTAGTAAATTACTTAATTTTGACGGTGCTCCGTGACCCCATTTTTGCTGTGCTAAATCCTTGGTAAATTTAATAAATAAGAAGATACATTCCAATTTTTTACTCAAATTATTTGAATCTGTTGTTTAGATATTTGTACCTAATTTGGATATAATATGACGTTAAATAAAAAAGTTAGGACAAAAGTCTACGAACTTTTTGAATGATCCCCATATTTCTATGTTAAACTTTGATTCCCCATTGTGGCCCCGCCCTACCCCTGGTGGTCATGATTTGTATAATTTAGAATCTACACTACCCCAGGATGCTTCCACATAAGTTTCAGCTTTTCTGGCCCAGTGGTTCTTGAGGAGAAGATTTTCAAAGATTTTTCCTATATATTTCTATGTAAAACTTTGATTCCCAATTGTGGCCCCGCCCAACCCCCGGGGGATCATGATTCGTAAAATTTAGAATCTACACTACCCCAGGATGCTTCCACATAAGTTTCAGCTTTTCTGGCCCAGTGGTTCTTGAGAAGAAGATTTTTAAAGATTTTTCCTATATATTTCTATGTTAAACTTTGATTCCCCATTTTGGCCCCGCCCAACCCCCGGGGGTCATGATTTGTACAATTTAGAGTCTACACTACCCCAGGATGCTTCCACATAAGTTTCACCTTTTTTGGCCCAGTGGTTCTTGAGAAGAAGATTTTTTAAAGTTTCAGCTTTTCCAGCCAAGTGGTTCTTGAGAAGATTTTTAATGACCCCACCCTATTTTTATCTTTTCTTGATTATCGCCCCTAGCCCTTCATTTTAACAATTTAAATTCCCTTCACCCAAGGATGTTTGTACCAAGTTTGGTTAAAATTGGCCCAGTGGTTCTTGAGAAGAAGTTGAAAATGTGAAAAGTTTACAGACGGATAGACAGACAGGTGTGGGTTGTGTCCTAACACTTTATGATGCTTGTGTTATATAAAATGCCAGCCTTCAATGAATGCAAATATCATGAAGGCTTGACCTTAACTTCAAACAAACAGCAGTTGCAGACAAAGGTTTTTTATTAATCTTAAAGTGACAGATAAAGAAAAGCCAACTAAATTTTCCAAGGGATTAATTGTACCTCTCTCATCATTTTCTTCTTAAGTTACAATAAGAACTTTTTTTAGTATTAATGATAGAATGGGGTTTTTATACAACTATCCTAAAAATTAATAATATTCTTGAATTAACATAAAGTGAAAAAAAAAATCAAAAAATCTTCTTTAATCTATTTCTTGTTATTAGAATTCAATGAAATCATAACTTAGTATTAAACAAAAATAAATTATAAAAATTTATATTTAAATCCACATTTCAGAGTGTTCATAGCATTCCAAATTGACTTGACTTCAAAACAAACTTCATTAACAGACAGAGGTGGTAATTCATCTCAATTTGACAGATAAAGATAATGCTCTGGATTTTCTTCAGGAGGAAAGCTAGCTAATTAATCCCAAGGGACTCATAGCAGCATTCAGTTTACAATGGGAACATCTTCAGCAGTTATCTCTCTTTGCCAATGCTTTCGTATATAAAGTTAAGGAATCTACCCCACCACCCCAGTTCCAAACCAGGGGACATAGAGAACCAAACTTAGCATCAAAATATGTATTTCTACCTACTGAACTACCATACCAAATTTGTACTTGATTGGGCAACCGTAAAAAAAGTTGCCCATTCATTCTTATGCATAGTTAAGGAATCTACCCCACCACCCCAGCTCCAAACCAGAAGACATAGAAAACCAAACTTAGCATCAAAATATGTATTTCTGCCTACTGAACTACCATACCAAATTTGAACTTGATTGGGCAACCATAAAAAAAGTTATTAGAAAAAAACAGAAAATTTGTGGACGGAAGAGTGACAGACGGACAGACAGACAGACAGCTAGACAGACGGACGGACAGAGTGATTACTATAGGGCACCCGCAAATCCTTGCGGGGCCCTAATTATTGCAGCAATATTGCCGCTATATTGCGGCAACATTGCAGCAACACATTTTTGTCACCAGAAACAAGCTTTTTGGGTTAGTGAAATATCACTGCTAGCGGCAACAACTTCTGGTAACATTCTGGCAATACTGCCAGAAAAAAACTTTCTGGCAGTATTGCCAGAATGTCGCCAGAAGATCTAGGATTACCCATTAGGCATTTGTGAGCATGCTCATGCAGTCATTTACTTCCTCTTTTTAAATAAAATGGAGGGAATTCAAAGGCAAGCAATTTTTGCTTCATTATTGAATGGTATCAAGGTAATTGGAGCTGTTAATTGTGTACAATAGGATTAGACATGATGACTAGTAAGACTGAATAAGTGGAATAGCCAGAAAAAAAGAATTTCAGAAGTTTTCATGGCATGGCCTTTTGAAAGAATTATAGGAATGTCTAATCTGTTTTCATGGTATATATATCAGACTCAAAACCATATTCTTTTTTAGATGAATGATTTTATGGAGTTAAAATAGGGAAAACTTATGCATTTCAACTAGTGCTTGTGATGCATGTATACTTGTCTATATATACCATTGTTGCAGGAGAAGATGAATGCATGTTATCAATTAAATGCATGCACATATATGATTAATTTATTGCATAAATTTGAATACCTGCAAGAAAATATTGATTCTATATATATGTTGGAAATTACAAACAAGCTATGTATTATACATTATACTGATTGGCATTAATGATTTTGTGATGGGCAGCTAATTACATGTATAAGGTTATTTGAAAATTAATGCAGAGTTGCTGGACATTTTTACAGTGGCATATTAATATTTTTTATACACACATTTTTTTAGGTGCCCGGATTGATAGATTAGGGCACATATTGTTTTTGTCCAATCTGTTTGTAAACTTTAACCTTTGCCATATGTGATAACTTTTGAACCAATGAGATATAAAGACTTCATATTTGGTATGCATACTCCACTTATTAAGTCCTTTCAAATTACACCAAGGTCAATGACCTGGTGACCTTAACTGTGACCTATATGCTAAAAATAGTTTTTATTGAATATTTGCCATAAATTAAGAACCAGGAGAAATAGAGACTATATACTTAGTATATGCATACTCAACTAATTTGGGTCTTTAAAATGACATCAAATATAAAACCTTATATAAAAACCGTAAAATCAAACTGAAAAAACTAAATATAAAAAGACACAAAATACTTGTTTCACCCCATAGACACAATATTTGGTTTCAGTTGAGTTTGGTTGAGAGAGTAATTTACTTTTAGGTCCTTGGAGTTACTTAAATAATGTGAAGATAAATGAATATACGAGGGGTGTTAGAAAAGTTCGCGGACAAGTTCTATTGTGATCGCGCTATTTCCATGAAACCGGTCAAACTTTCCAGATATAATCTTGACATTTTTTCCAATAAATATACAAGAATTTGGTGCTCTCCGGTGATTATTGAAAAATATACGGCATTTTTATTTTGATAAATCTTGCTTCACGGAGCATGCTGCATTGTGGCACGTTTACATCACAAAGACTCTTTATTAAAATTAAAAATTGCACAATTGTAGTGCCAAGAGATTTATGATATTTTACCTGCCGCTAAAGTATG